AGGCAGGTTATCAAATTTTTCATTTACTATTTATCAAAAATACTCCTTGAATATTGGCAGACATTACCTAGGGATTGTTTTATTACAGAGAAATAAATAAATCTTTGAGAGGAAAATGAATCAAACCTCTAATGTGTTAATACTTTCAACACCTAAAGAATAATTAAAAGAAAATCACTAGAAACAAATAGGTTTCTTAAGTACAACATAGTCAACATGGGCCGTCTGAAATCAAATCTTACTTTCTGCCTGGAACTTAGCCTGATAAACAAGATTTTTTTCCTAGCCTAGCCTTTCCTGTTGTAGCTGCAGTTTCTTTAAAACCTATCCATAAGAGATACGGCAACATCTGTTTCTAGAAACTTACTCCCACTTAGTCAGGGCTTAATAGATTGCACCTGCACTAATGAGTAAGTAAGGCATCCACTTAGCATCTCCCAGTAGATTCTTGTTCCTTGGAAGAATTACCACCGTGATACAATAACAAACAAATTGCGATTGCTGATTTTCCTTGTAGAAAAAGCTCTTCACAGACAGTAAAAGTTAAAGAAGGTAACTCATGGTGAAGTGAGGGTTTAGAAATTCCGAAGAGCTATCCAATATCTTAGGCTGACTGTTTTCTTTAAAATCTGTTCTGTATTAGTGAGCTTTGGCTCAGAGTTAAACTGTCCAAATATTAAAACATATTTATTCAGTATTATTACAGTTCCTCTACTGGGAACTGAGTTACAGATAAGGAATTAAACCAGTAGCTCCTGAACGGTACATATACCACAAACAGTCTACAGCCACCACAAAATGGTGCGTGCCTCAATGAAGAGCAAGAAGCTGCTATTGCAAATCACAGAGCTCTCATGATGACTAACTGCTGATGATATTTGGTACCGTTGCTATTAATGATGATGGTAGGAAGTTTAAGAAAAAAATTTGTAGACTACAATCTGCCCAAGAGCACAGAAGAGGTGATCAGTGAATTTCATATTATGGAGCAAGGCTTATTATTTGCCAGTTATCTTCCACTGGATGAAGTTGTGTGGCAAAATGTGCTAATTCTAGCAAAGAGTGGCAATCATGTAGGAGTTCAATGTAAGCTTCATGAGCAAGATTGTGATACAAGGGCCAAAGCTCTAAATACAGAGCAGTATTAGAGGGCACTGACCAATAACAACATGTCTGCAACTAAATGCAACTTCTCTGCATGCTATTTTGTGTATAGTCACCATTGCTCCTTAGGAGAAGCTTACTTTTTTCTCTTGTACCATTCTGTTGGCCTGTGTAGGAGAGGGAGATGTAGGCCCTCTGCAACTTGTTCCTTATCAAAAGAGCATGGACACTGATGGGTGCAAGATGCACAGACTCCTGTGTTGGAAGCCTTCTTCAGGCCCTTAGAAGATTCCAGAAAGCCACCAAATTCTTTCCTGTACACACGAGGGTGGGATTGCAGTATGTCTGACACGTTGCTAAATGCCTATCATAACTTATTGTTAAGGAGAATTCTGCACGATCTGAAAGATCTCAGGCAGAAACAGCAGCAGCACACGGTGACCGTGCTAGGGAATGCCAAGAGACAGTTGCAAGGACTAGATCATACAGAGGCAACATTGCATTTCTGCTCTATTCTAAGCATTTTATGGCCAGCTCAATCCCTTGGTACATCTTTTTAATGGATACAGAGGTACAATTTGTCTTCAAATAAAACTAGACAGGTAGGAATTATGTGCTACAACTTTCATGTATGTATGCAACTTTCATGCTGAAAGTATGGAGACCCTCTTCCAGTTACCTCTTTGAGTGGCTTCTTTTCTCATCAACACACTCCAAAACAGAAATTACCCAGAGTCTTACAATACTGTCTTTGGTGGGAAAATACTCATAAAGTCAGGGTTGTAAAAGAACATATATGAAAACCACAAATTGTTCAATATGGAAAATGCAGTGTTACTGTAAAGCTTCAATATCCTAATCCAGTCTTAAGATCTACTCACTCTAGACTAGGACAAGTGGTTCTTGCAAGCCTGTTCCAGCAATTAATACTGTAGATGTTTGTTACTGGGTATAGTCCCACTCCAGCCATATTAGACCCTATCCTAGAAGTGGACTTATTACAATGGAAGATGTCAGAACATCAAAGCCAGACTAAGTTGCTTGCACTGCATTAAAGTTAAAAAAATTTAAAAATTAATTTCTAAATCAACTTTGCTTGTCTAGGGTGTCTGAATGAATACAGACCCAAAGTCTAGACAGAACAAAAACAGTAGAGTTGTCAGGACACTGTTTGGAGAGCAAGGGAGCCTTGGCTGTTTTAGATCTTACATCACTGTATGATGTTTAGCAGATCACTTTGACCTGTTCCTCAATTTCACTTTAAAATTTAATAGTACATGGCCAGCTGTCTAAAAATCAGAGAAGATAAAATCCATCAGGGACTATGATTGCTCAAATGATCTTGTGATGAAAATTACATTATAAGACAGAATTATTATAAATATGGAATACCTGTTAGCATGTGTTTTGCTTGTTCTTAGCATTCTCAAATAATTTGCATCTCCTGACATCATTCTTGGATTGTTACAGCCTGTATAAGCTCTTCTAAAACATAAAAAAAAAATTAAGCTTTGTCATTTAATAAAAGACATTTTAATAAAAGAGGAGCATGAGTTGAAAAACTAGACCCGCATGCCTTCTTTGGAGCAGAAGGACTCCAGATCAAGTTCTGCAGGCTCCTTCCTAAGTCCTACCCTATCACACTGCAACAGTGCTAAAGAGAAAGTTTTGGAAGCAGTCAACACCAGAGTATCCTGCTCTATGTTTTATTCCATATGCAGTTCATAAATAACCGAGGAGACCTGTCTAATCAGATATGTTGATTTGCTGTTATTCTTTCTGCTGAAGACTCAATTAAAGTTGCCTTCTCTCCCTTTATTTTGCCTTAAATTTAAATGAAAATATACAGGGGTGAAGATCAGTCATTTCTTTATTAGGTCGCTGAAGCAATTAACATCAACTTCTTGACTTGACCATGCCCCATATACTTAACTCCAGCAGGGAGGTTACAGTGTATAGCTGTGGCAAGAAAGACAATGACAGACTGGGATATAACCATTTCCCATCACCAGACATGTTGGTTTAAGATCCGTGGAGTAATTTTTGTTCTGGTTCTCAAACAGGAAATGCTTGAGGCCTCTCTGATCTTCTGACATCTGTGACTAGCTGTCACTGAAGAACTATACATGACGGAACCTGACGGCTATGCAGAATACAGAATTCCAGAATACAGCTCTTGAGCTCATGCCCTACAGTGTATGTATTTCCTCTGCCTATGGATGCTACTGCTACCAAGCACACATCTGCTTTCATAATACCAGGCACTTGTAAGTAAAGCTTAAGGAAGAAGGAATTTGACCTCTTGTAAGAAAGCACACAAGCATTTTAGCTTCAACCCTGATTACTGGAATAAGAAGAAATAAATGACATATTGAATTATTGACAAGTAAATTTCAGCCTGAAAGACCCTAAAATGTATGTATTTATATACATTTGAGAGGTTGCAAGATGCTTATTAATCCTGAAAAATTCTATTATTTTCCCTGAACTTTTATTAGTTTGTATTTGAAACAAAATCAGGCTGCCATCTTTAAATGTTTGAAATCTTTGTAAGCCTAAATTGGGTAGGAAGAGATTAGCCATTACCTATAATTTGAACAACTGCCTACCAGTGAAAATATAGGCACTGGCTGCAACCTTAGGAGTTATTTGAGACTCTGTATCAGCTAAAGGTGTATACTGGCTGGAGTCTTTTTATTGTTCAGAGTACCTTGTCATTCGACATCATATTGTTGGTTTAACCCCAGCTGGCAACTAAGCTCGCTCACTCCTGTCTCAGTGGGATGACGGATTGAATTAGAAGAGTGAAAGTGAGAAAACTTGTGGGTTGAGACAAGGACAGTTTAATAGGTAAAGCAAAAGCCACACATGCAAGCAAAATAAAACAAGGAATTCATTAACTGTTTCCCATGGGCAAGCAGGTTTTCAGCCATCTCCAAGAAAGCAGGCCTCCTTCACATGTAACCGTTACTTGGGAAGACAAACCCCCATTCCTCCTCCTTCTCCCAGCTTTATATTGCTGAGCATGATGCCATATGGTATGCAATATACCTTTGGTCAGTCTGGGTCGGGTGTCCCAGCTGTGTCCCCTCCCAACTTCTTGTGCCCCCGGGTTCCCCCTCCCTGGCCCCAGCCTACTCGCTGGTGGGCGGTGTGAGGAGCAGAAGAGTCCTTGGCTGTGTGGAGGGACTGCTCAGCAATAACCAAACCATCCCTGTGTTATCAACACTGTTCTCAGCACAAATCCAAGACATAGCCCTATACTAGCTACTGTGAAGAAAATTAACTCTATCCCAGCCAAAACCAGAACACATATGAATGATATCCTATTATTGGTGGATAATTATATCCAACTGCTGTATTCTCAAACTATTAGATGTAGTTTGTAAATAATCATTGGTTTGTTTAAAACTATTTAGTATAAAACACCTTAATTTGCTTTTTATTAACACAATTTAAATTGGTTTGCCAATAGGTAGTTTATATTATGGCTCATGATCAGGTGTTTAATGAGATATAATAAATTAAAACAGTGAAGACTGAAATTCTGGGGTCAGAATTATATGAAGCCCCATAAAACACCTCTGCAAACCATTTTGGATTGGTTCGTAGAGCTTGCTCCAGTACTTCTCATAGAACACATCTTAAATTACCCATATGTAAAAATTCGTTGTTTAGGAAAGTCCTAAAATGGATGGTGCTAGGCTGAAGCACAGATTAGTTTTATTATTTTATTTTAGTACTACAGTGATTGAGCATATTTCTTTTCTTTTCTATAGTTCTGGAAATAAACTTCACAAAGCAATCCAACACGTTTTCATCCAGAAGTATAAAACAAGACTGAATTTCCAAGGCTTGGACATCTCTGATTTACATTCTGTGTTCTTGTGCAAAAGATGTCAAAAAACTCAACAGAGAACTCAACTAACCCTCACTCAGCTCCTCTAGGTCTGGTCCTGGGAAGCATTTCACTGATCACCATTGTCATGAATATATTAGTACTATGTGCTGTGAAAACTGAAAAGAAGCTGCAAACAGTTGGCAATTTATACATAGTCAGCCTCTCTATTGCAGATCTTATAGTTGGTGCAGCTGTTATGCCTCTGAATATTGTTTATCTCCTAAGTGGTGCGTGGACTCTAGGCTTACCGGCCTGTTTGTTCTGGCTGTCAATGGATTACGTGGCCAGTACTGCATCCATTTTCAATCTCGTCATATTGTGCATTGACCGTTATCGTTCAGTTCAGCAACCACTGCAATATCTCAAGTATAGAACAAAAATGAGAGCATTGCTCATGATTTTGGGGGTTTGGTTGCTCTCTTTCACGTGGGTCATTCCAATCCTAGGTTGGCATGTTTTTGCTAATAACGGGGAAAGGAAAGTGAAAGACAAGTGTGAAACTGAATTCTCTCAAGTCACCTGGTTTAAAGTGTTGACAGGCATTCTCAATTTCTACCTACCCTCTATCATGATGTTATGGTTCTACTATAAAATATTCCGAGCTGTTCGAAAACACTGTCAACACCGAGAGCTCATCAATGGATCAGGTTGGTCTTTCTCAGAAAAAAAAGCCATAGATCATACTAAAAGGAAGGACAAGCAAAATATTTGCCTCCAAAAGCAAATCTTATATGAGAACAACCCTCCCGAAGACAAGCAAAGCTCGCCTCAGCCCAAAAATACAGAGACAGAGCTTCATTTCAGTAATCCTGACAAGTCTTCAAGGGCATTCGTTGGCAAGAGTAATAGGAAAGTCCTTAAATGGAGCTGTTTTCCTTTCACCACTGCCCAGTCTGAGCCAGGCCTGGATAAAGCAGGAGAGAAGTGTATGTCTGTAACAGAAGAGAATGAAAATGAAGAGGAGCCTTGTTCACAAGACAGTGACTTAAGTGATGCATCAGACAACCATACTTTCACAGAGGAGGTACCCTGTGGAGACCACTCCAATCCTAACCCTGAAAGAGCCTGCAGTCCTCCGGGAAAGACTGAGAACAGGGATTTTGGAAGACTGACTTACCTGAGGAAAACCTGGCAAAGTCTGCATACCCATTCCAAAAAGCATATTCAAGGACTGCATGGGAACAGGGAGAGGAAGGCAGCCAAGCAGTTAGGTGTCATAATGGCAGCCTTTATGCTGTGCTGGATTCCCTATTTTGTATTATTTATGGTAATAGCTTTCCATGGCCATGAACAATTTTCGCACTTACACATGTTCACTATATGGCTTGGCTATGTGAACTCCACCTTAAATCCATTCCTGTATCCTCTTTGTAACCAGAATTTCAAGAAGACATTCAAAAAGATCCTGCACATTCACTGATACGCGTCTGATTTTTTTGAACTAAAAAGCAGCCCAAGAGTTCAACCAAACAAAATGTTCCAGTTTCAAAGATAAACACCATGGGTAAAATAGATGAGTTTGGAAAACTGTAATTTATAAACAAGTGTTAATAAAAGTGGGAAACATGCATTTAACAGCTTTATCACATTTGAAGAAGAACTAATTCAGATCAGGAATCTGAAAAACTCAGTGACAATCTCAGAACTGTTACACTGTTGTACACATTTCACAATTTGAGATTACCTATTTCACAATGTAGAACAAAAACTGGAGATATAAATAGAGATCTTCAGTGATTATAAATTATTCAGCTACGGAAAAGGAAGAAATAGAATAACGTTTCTGTGATTGGCCAAATATATTTTTCTCTTTCAATTAAACTCCATTAAACATGGGAACACGTTGCTTGTGAAGTGAGATCTGCAAGTGGAGCTACTTATCATAGTCAAAGAAGCTTCAACTGTTTAAAAAAATCTACCCTCTTTATTTATAGCTTCCCCAAATCATAAACTTTTTTGAAATGTCAAGTCCTGTTGTAACCTACTGTATCTCTTTGATATCATGCTTGCTTCATTTATACCTGTAGATGTTAACTTCACTGAAAAAAAGCATTTTTATGTCCTAGAAATTTTGCTAAGACTACCCATGCTCAACATACTGTCACTATCTATTCAACAACAGTATGGTGTTGTTTCTAGACTTACAGAATATAGTTGATTGTAGACTACACATATTTTCATCTTCCTACAAGTTTGGAAATAACAGCGTGCAGTGGCAATACTAATCCATATATCCTTATCTTGTAGTAGGCAAACTCTTGCTCCTATAATGAGGCAAACTCATGAGCAACAACTTAAGCTTGCAAACCAGAAAATAAAATACACGAAGTATGTTTACCTTTTCTATCCTTGCTATTTAATTGCATTTTATAAATTATGCTGTAAATGCTGTAAAGTATTTCAGGAGAAACTCACAATAATAGAATACTCTAGGTTGGAAGGGATCTCAGGAAGACATTTAAGTACAGCCTACAACTCAAAGCTGGGCTGGCTTTGACATTACATCATGTTGCTCAGGGCCTCATCCACAACTTGAATGACAAGCATCTGTAAAACAGCTTCATCTAGAAAAGCTGGGAGGTAGCCTTGACAAGAGGAGTTTGCAGCTAAGGTTCACTCTACCAACTTTGAGCATTCACTTGCTCAGCCATTGATTTAACTGTTTCTAAGTACTAACTAATTCTCAAAACCAGACATGCCTTGCTGTACAACAGGAATTAATCCCCTCTTTCTAAGTCCAGTCAGGTATAGATCTGTTCCCAAAGGAAGAAAACATAGTTTCTCAGCCAAAAAGGGCATAGTGGCTTATGTTGCATGAGCCAACTTACTGGGAAGCTTACAATTTCACAGAACAACTACACCAAAATAAAAAAGAGTATATAGACTGGGGAGCGGGAAGGAGAATTTAGGCAGAGGAGATCTCAGGCCCTGTATTAGCTGAGTATCTCAAGACCACGTACCACTTTGTTTGTCGCCCACCAGTAAAGCATTCATTCCTATTCTTCTGCTTTGGAACTAAGTGAGGGAAACATTTTGAGCGAACACTGTGGAGTATGTTAGTTTTAAGAAGGAATCCCAGAACCAGATAACTTCAACAGGTGAAGTCACATTTGCGTGTAATGGTGAGTTTATGTAAGTCTTTTCCATACATTTTGGTAAATTTGGTTATGTAAGTCTTTTCCATACATTTTGGGAAGGATGATTAGAGAGGCATCCTCAAGGTTCAATGTAAAAAGAATGTCCTCCCATTCATTTTGTTGTGCTGATGAATATACTGCTTCCTGAATGCTTTCTTCGTTCTGAAATTGCTCAGTTAGCCTAACAACAAAGTTCTGATGGAACTGGAACTCCTTCAACTGAGTACTGTAAAGAGTTTGGTGGTATGAGTTGAAGGGATGTTCCTCCGTTACATCAGAAGCAAAAAAATGGTAGTTTAATCATTGGAGGAGAAATTCTATGTTCTTAATTAATGATTTTGAGATACTTGTAGACACATGAGCCTTTGTGCCACATATGCCTATTTTGTAAAGTGAGTATGACAAGACTTACAATAACAATGCAACACTTAGGATATGTTTGCACGATGCTCATATATTTTGGATATAATACACTAACTAAACGCAAAGTATTATTACCCTCTGTCAGTTTTATTTCTCTGAATTAAACACCTGAATGTCAATAGTTGTACTTAAAGTATTCAATATTAAATGAAGCCCTAATATCTCTGCATTTAAATACATTGGAAAAATGTATTAAAGGAATAAACTTAAGTTCAGTCTATTTCAATGTATCATACAAGGTTCAGAGATTAGTTGAGTTTGGTCTCAAGTAGCATGCAGGAAAAACTGCAATTAGTGAACTCAAATCTAGGAGAGAAAAAAAGGCAAAATACAGAGACAGAATATAGAAGCAGCAAAATTCATTCCAGAATTCAGGCAACTTTTTCACTGCAGGAGCAGTATCTGCACAAATAGTAAAATATGTCTTCTTTTGGACTACAAAACAGCATCTTTTGAAACATATGCTCTAATCCACTGGCCTTTCACAAACAATTCCTCAGATTCACAGCCATTATGAACTTTTTCTATTGTGATATGCAACAGCAATTCTAGCCAAAATGGTCGGTAATTCCCCGAGGAAATAAAAAAAGCAGCACGCTAAGTCAGCCGCAGTTATTAGTGTACACTGCTAAAACATGCTCACCCAAGGGCTACTTAGAGTTATCAAGAAGTCTATCCTCTTGATCATGACAATTGCCTTTTCTGACTTTTCTTTATTAATACATGTATTTCATGTATTAATACATGAAACAGCAACCTAAACAAAATCACTGAAAATTGGTCTAAAAATTATGATGATTATAACAAAGAATACCTCTGGTACAATTAAAGAACATTCAAACACTGAACAGCTAAACCTAGGCAGATAAAACTTCCTGAATATTTTTTATCTCCATTTTTATCCATAATCGTAGTGTAACTGTGTTAATAATAAAGACAGCGGAAACTGTCATAGTAAGCTTTTGTGATGTGATATCTAGAATAGATAATAATAAAAATGGAAAACGGGATACTGCCTATTTTAAACTTGCAATTAGCAAGGTACCTAACAGGATTTATCAGTTTATTTTACTGAATAGGCAATTCAAATGGCTCTGGATGTAAGAGAAGCAGAGGAAGCAAGTTAGGGTGAGGAATGGAGAAGCATACTTCCACATGGGGCCAAGCCTCAAGAGAATATTCCAGGTGTGGTTTCCTGTAAAATATTTTCAAGGTTTTCCAGTTAATAAACAAGGTCAGAGGACACACAGCTTTAAGAGAACATAACAAATTTCTTGGAATTTCTTGGACTGGAGTTCTACTTTGATTAAGGTGTGGTGAAAACAACCAACCTCGCTTTCAAGAGGCAAAAAAATACAGTCTCGCAATTTTTTCTGTGCCAATGGTGACATCTAGCGGGTAATGAGTAGAATTCTGGGCTTCTGCATCAAATACTGTGTATCATGGGAGTTTGTTAAAGGAGGAGTGCAATTAGCAAGTGGATCCTGGCATCTAGTACATGTTTCTTTTCCCATATTCTTTTCAGGAAGTGTGGCACTCAATAAAGGAAACATTAGTGTAGGTGCACATTTTGGCTTCATTCCATCATCTAAAAGGACTCCATTACATTCTCTGTGAGACCACTTTGTGATAGCACAATAAATGAAAATGACTGAAAGATTCACTTTAAAAATGTATTTCTAATCCTAAGATATTAATATAGCAGCTCAACAGACACCTCCGGATAGTTCTAGAGGAGGTCCCCAATCCTGCAGATTGCTGTATCTTTCTACTGCTATCAGGGATGCCAGAGGACTAGCCTCCTAACTTAGCCGCGACGGCTTCAGGTCCCAAAGATGAGATGCAAGAATACACTTGAAGGTTTCAGTGTATGCATCCCCTCCACCAGAATGAGAATTAGTTCATTTGGAAATGCCAAGTTAAGTTTAAATACTATGCATACATATTCACTTTTGTTTATTCACTAAGTACAATGATAAAGGTCCTAATTTTCATCAAATTATTTGTCTATTGAAGAATTAGAAGATAAAAAGAACAATTAATGTTAACAGTGCGTGAGCAATAGCTCATGAAAATAGTTTACACTCCTGATAGTGAATTCCAAACTATCTTTAAAAATGAGACATACCTGACACCAAAATGAATCATTTCTACATGGTCAGCTTAGAGTCTAAAATAGAAATTAAAAAAAATCAAATGTGAGATGTACACTCTATATATGTACAGACACATAAGCACACATTCCAGGCTCCTACAAAATTGTCGTTTGAGATCTCCACCAGTTAGAAAGTGTAAGGGTTCCTACTGAAAGAGATGTACCTTTGTGTATGGCAATGGTTAAAACCATACTGACATCTGGTAAGTCTAACAATGTTTCCATTGCAACAATATTTGTATCCCCTATCATTTTGGTTTGTGTACCAAGATATCTTGTGTTTAAACCCTCATATGTTTCAACTAAAATATGCCTTAAATGAAATACGCAGCACCCATTGCTATACATTGGCACTGTGTAATTAAAATGAATGCCTACTGTGTAATTAAATTGAATGCCTTAAGTAAAATCAGATGTCTTTTATTTTGATCAGGCATAACAGTCTTCAAAAACAACACTGTCAGACCTGGGACCTGAACTCGGGTCTCCTACCTGGCAGTCTAATTTCCTCCTCACTGGATACGAATAATCCCTCAACTCAGTTCTTTGAGGGGTAACGACTCTTTCTCTGTATCGTAGCAAAGTGCTCATAGGAGAGGCACCCGCCTGTGCCAGAGAAATTAGTGATGATGCTCACAGAAGTCTATCAACACGGCAACTGCAAGATGATACCGTTTTCAGCATACTCCTACTTTCTTCTACTAC